ACCATCATTGCCACGAAAAAACTTGCAAACTTTCCATGCAGATGGATCATCAGGTGCAAATTAGCTCATGGTGCAAAAGTCCTGTACGTTACATTTGAGAATAGAAAATGAGCTCATGTGTAGTAAGATGGCCATCGAAAACAGCACACATAACTAGCTTATTCTCAGTGTAGCATTTTTTTGTTTTTTTACTTGAAAATATTTTCTAAATAGTTTTGTTATTCGTTTGATTGTAACCATCCCCCCTCTCTCTCTCCATACATCAACACTACATCTATGGGCACGACCTTCATATACTAATTCCTTGGATTAAAATATTGCCATCTTTATTTTTTCTCCACTCTTATCTCGTGGTCCGATAATTTTTGCCAAGACCCAATCAAGGTGACCTTCAGTTTTCTCTTGATGAGCTTAATCCCTCGATAAAACCAATGTTCAAGTATTTTCATAAATTATGTAGTTTCTTGACCCTCTTATAAATTCAAGTTTTGGATTATCTCGTGTCTTCTCTTACAGTCCATACAAACTTTTTTCCATAAGGATTGACATATGCATCATAATGTTGCTCATTGAAAGGTCCTAAATGGCTAGAGGGGGTGAATAGCCTATAAAAATTCTCTACAAATACACTAAAGTAAAGAGTTAGTAACCTAAATGACGAAATATAATTTTGCTCTAGCTCTACAAGGGTTGCAAACCACCTATACCACAATTCTAGTTCTTTACAATCTCTAGGCACACACAAATACTATGTCACTACTCTTACACTAGTGAACTAGTTAATTACAACTAGATTACCAACTAAGCTACACTAGCTAGTCAACTACCTCTACATAAGATATTTCTAGGAATGTAAATACAAGAGGTAGAGAGAGATATACCGCACGTGGCAAGAGATGATCAATCACAATATGAAATTCAAGTGAGAAATCCAATGCACAAGAGACAATCAGTTTTTCTCCCGAGGTTCACGTGCTTGCTGGCACACTAGTCCCCGTTGTGTCGACCAACACTTGATGGTTCGGCGGCTAATAGGTATCACACACCTAGCCCACCACTTAGGCGCCGCAAGAACCTACCCACAAGTAAGGTAAGTCAATAACACGAGCAATCCACTAGAGTTACCTTTTGGCTCTTCGCCGGGAAAGGTACAAGACCCCTCACAATCACTGGGAGATGGCCATGAACAATCACCAACTCGTGCCAATTCTCCTCCGCTGCTCCAAACCGTCTAGGTGGCGGTAACCACCAAAAGTAACAAGAAAAACCGCAATGATGCAACCACAAGTTCCACTAGATACGCTAACGCGATGCAAATGCACTTGGATGCTCTCCCAACTCACTTGGATGAACAACAATCAAGAGAGATGAATGGGAGTGGTGTTTCTCAGCCTCAAAGGGACGTCAAGAATGTCAAATGGCCAAGAGAGACACCCCAAGGCCGGCCATAGTCTATTTATAGACACCCAACAAAATCCAACCGTTATGCTTCTCGGGGTTGACTGGACCCTATGACCGGACCCTGACCAGAGTCCGGTCAGGCGAGTCCGATCGCCCCTACTGGCCCGTCACAGCGCGCCACATCTCTGCTTTTCAAATCCGACCGTTGCCACCCTCGCACGCGCGCGCCAGCCAAGGACCGAACGCGCTCCTCGATCGATCGAACCCAGGGCGCCCCACAGTCCGATCAAGTACAGAGAGCTCCCAGAGCGCTAAAACTGTGACCAGACGCTTCAGATCAGTAGTGACCGGACCGAGGGCTGAGTCTGGTCCTTCTCTGTTGATTCCCGAGCACTGCTAAATCATGACCGGACTCTGTGAATAGTGTTCACACAGGGGCTGGTCCTTCTTCACCCACTGAGTCCGATCAAAGTCTCGTGGTCACACCTTCTCTAGACCGAGTGACCGGACGCTGTGGCCAACGACCGGATGCATGCCTGCGCAGAGTTCGGTCCTGTTGCAGTCCAACCCGAGAGCCAGGGTTTAGGACCGGACTCGCCACAGCAGAGTCAGGTCAACCCGAAGCCAGGGTCTAGTCACTAGAAACTTCTCCTTTTCAACTCCAAACACTCCACCCTTGTGCATGTGTGCCAACTCCTAGTATTCCAACACATGTGTACGTGAGTTAGCAACAATCTAAGTTAATTCCCAAGGATGTGTTAGCTCATTAGGATCCAATGCACATGCAATCGAGTTAGATCACCTAATGGCACTTGACAACCGCATCAACTATGATTTCTGTCCTCTTCATAGTACGGCTATCTATCCTAAACACATTTACACCCTCTATGGTGTCTTGAGTGCCAAAACAAAAAACTATTTGATACCTTTGCCTTAATCAACACCTGGTTTTTGTTTTTCTCTTTCTTCTTTTCCAAGTGGGAGCACTTGATCATCTCTTTTGGTCACCACCATCACCATGACCAGCATCTTGCTCCATCACTTGGTGTGTACCACCCTATCTCAATCACAACACTTAATGACAAGGGTTAGTACACTAGGTTTCATCAATTATCCAAAACTAAACTAGGGCTTTCACTCATGTATGTGCCAATTCCATCAATGCCTCAAGCCTTTCAAACAAATTATAGAACCCTCACTAGCGCTAGTGAGAGCTAATGATCTTAGGCATGTTGTCTATGCAATTCTACTGCCCTGTTGAGTGACATGTTGTGACCATGTTCGTTTCTACTTGTGACTAGCTTATCGCAAAGAAAAAGTTGAACAATGTCCACTGCACTGCTCATGAGCTTGCTTCGCATGCACATCTGGAAGTCGATGGACAGATTGCATATAAGATATGAAAAATCAATATGCTTTTCCATGAATCCATAATGATTCGGCTGCTAAAACCCCATTCCTCCACTATGTCACCGCCATGAAAGCCATAAGATTTGAGCCATGATCATTGGAATCGATATGTTCTAGTTGGATGTTTTCCCCTTTATTGACACCGAGGATGATGCAAAAACTTTTCGATCATGAATATAGGAAAAGTGTGACTTGTTAAGCATAGTGCTACGGTTAGAGAACATATTGCGATGATGAGATGTAGAGCACAATGAGGAAAGATGACTCTGGGATTGGAAGAAAGTACTCTAATGATTTTTGTGGACACTAGAAAGACATCAGTGTCCACCTTGGATGTCTCTTGTAGATGTGTGTAATACCTGTCATATATATTCCATGTGTTTTCCTTGTTCTTTATTACCATAGCAAACTCCAATTAGAATGTTTATTGAATTCTATACTACTATCTCTTTCCATACTTGCTCTACATTATTGGATTCTATATATTTTTCCTATATCTTTGATAGGTCAATATGATTAATGTGGTAGTTTTTTTACCCCAAAGTTAAAGAGATTATATTATTTTAAATTTATTTACTTATATTAATACACTAACTTTTTATTTAGGTGCTTTCCAACATATAGAACCAAAATATTGCTTTTTTCTAATTTTCAATGTTGCATTTAGTTGAACTACTTATAACTATAATTTATTTATACTATTTATTTAGGTATTATTTCTTCCCAATTTTTAAGAGATCGAGCTATTAATTTTTTCATAGTTTTTATTAAAATTTTGTCTTTAATAATTGTGTTTTACATGGACTCTTAATTAGTTATTTTTCTAGCTCGTATGGAAACCATTTTACTATTTTTTCTAAGTTTATTATTCAATATTTATTAATTTATTAATTGTATTAGGAATGGACTCTTTGGTTTAATCTTAAGCCGTTATAGTATCATAGAATCTAATTAATTAATCTCATAATTTCTAGGTCCTCTCAATGAATGTGGTGGATTCTTTTAATACTATAATACTAGGATAATAATAGATTCACAAGATAGTTTGGTAAATTATTTTTGGCAATAGTAGCTCGTCAGGTGTATAGAGAAGTCATGACAAAGAACAAGTATAGGAGAATGACAATGGATTACATAAACTATTTCACTAAAGGTTGAATGTGGCAAGATCCACTTATCTACCTGCAAGTCGTACGGGTGCTCGTTTTTTTTTTAGAACATAATGACTATTCTTTCGATCAGTGGCGGCTCCGCCACCACCTGGCAATCCCGAATGACCGTACGACCATAGTCTATTTGTTGTTCTAAGAGGACGGTGAATTGAGCTCTAAAATTTAAAGCGACGAAGCATAGCCTATGCAAAATCTAAAGCCCCAAGTACCTTGGCTCCTAAGTTCTTCTAAAAAAACAAGCTGATGAGTCCTTAGGGCCAACAAGCTAAGCATGTCCTTAGCTAAGATCACACTAAGATTAGGGTCCTTAGAGTGCTAAAATAAAACCTAGCTAAGCACACACTAACATGAATCCTAGTTGCACTCAATGAGACTTGCAAGCAATGAAAGTAAAGCAAGCAAGAAAGAGTAAGGCAAAGATATAACTGGATTTTTTTTGCCATGGTCTTAGGTTGTTGCCACAACTCCCTAATCCACGTTGGAGCACCTAAGTCACAAAGACTTGGTTATGCTTCGCTGCACTACTGAATACCCGTTCGCTAGTCGTCACTCTGACATGGTAGGTTTCAATACCATGTATAAGCGACCGGTGTTCCCTCCATTTTGGTTGCTAAAGCGAAGCATTAGCCATGGCAAACATGAAACACCCAAGAACGTGACCAAGCTTGGGCGGTATAATGGGGAAAAAACAACAAAACTCCATCAGATCTCTGGCCGAACGTGAACACCTTAATTCTCTTGTTCGGTTCACAGCTGCTTGTCCTGGCAAATCGAACACAACAAACATATAATCCTCGAGCACAGCATGCGCTTCATCATCTTTATAAACAACTGCACTGAATTTCCAGGATTCGAGCTGGTCCAATTATGTTGTTTTGTTGATCTTCCACGCTCCCTGCGCGCCCATGTTCCCGCCATTCTGCAATCTGCACCACAGCGGCCCCTCTTCATATACCCCACCGCACTGTGCACGCTTCGTCCGCAGCCAAGTCCCCAAGAGCAGACATTGGGCAGAGGATGCCTCTTGCCGCAATGGCATCGGCATCCTCCCCGTCCCGGTCCCGGTATCCCCCCATCTTGGTCGCTCTCTTGTGCGCCATTGCCGCCATCTCTTCCTCTGCGGCCGCTGGCCCCGGCGGCGCAGACGGTCTCGGCCCCATCAGCACCAACGGGAAGAACTACACCAAGGTGTGCGACCCCGCACGGTTCGCGGCGCTGGGCCTGGACATGTCGCGCTTCCGGTACTGCGACGCGTCGGTACCGTACGCCGAGCGGGTGCGCGACCTCGTGGGCCGCCTCGTGCTGGAGGAGAAGGTGCGCAACCTCGGGGACCAGGCGGAGGGCGCGCCCCGCGTGGGCCTGCCGCCGTACAAGTGGTGGGGGGAGGCGCTCCACGGCGTGTCCGACGTCGGCCCGGGCGGCACGTGGTTCGGCGACGTGGTGCCCGGCGCCACCAGCTTCCCGCTCGTCATCAACAGCGCCGCGGCGTTCAACGAGTCGCTGTGGCGCGCCATCGGCGGCGTGGTGTCCACGGAGATCAGGGCCATGTACAACCTGGGCCACGCCGAGCTCACCTACTGGAGCCCCAACATCAACGTGCTGCGCGACCCGCGGTGGGGGCGCGCCAGCGAGACCCCCGGCGAGGACCCCTTCGTCGTCGGCCGCTACGCCGTCAACTTCGTCCGCGGGATGCAGGACGTCGTCGACCGCCCCTACGCCGCCGACCCGTTCTCGCGGCCCATCAAGGTGTCCAGCTGCTGCAAGCACTTCGCCGCCTACGACGTGGACGCGTGGTTCAAGGCCGACCGCCTCACGTTCGACGCGCAGGTGGAGGAGCGCGACATGGTCGAGACCTTCGAGCGCCCCTTCGAGATGTGCATCCGGGACGGCGACGCCAGCTGCGTCATGTGCTCCTACAACCGCATCAACGGCATCCCCGCCTGCGCCGACGCGCGGCTGCTGTCGGAGACCGTCCGGAGCCAGTGGCAGCTCCACGGGTACATCGTCTCCGACTGCGACTCGGTCCGCGTCATGGTCCGCGACGCCAAGTGGCTCAACTACACCGGCGTCGAGGCCACCGCCGCGGCCATGAAGGCCGGCCTCGACCTTGACTGCGGCATGTTCTGGGAGGGCGCCCGGGACTTCTTCACCACCTACGGCGTCGACGCCGTCCGCCAGGGGAAGATCAAGGAGGCCGACGTCGACAACGCGCTCAGCAACGTCTACACCACCCTGATGCGGCTCGGCTTCTTCGACGGCATGCCGGAGTTCGAGGCCCTCGGCGCCACCAACGTTTGCACCGGGGACCACAAGGAGCTGGCTGCCGACGCTGCCAGGCAGGGGATGGTCCTCCTCAAGAACGATGCCCGCCGCCTCCCATTAGACCCCAACAAGATTAATTCAGTGTCGTTGGTTGGCCTGTTGGAGCACATCAATGCCACGGATGTCATGCTTGGAGACTACCGAGGTAAATCTAGCTATGCCCTGTAGTACTGTTGACTGCCTGACGATTGACGAACAGGCAAAAATTACTGTGGTCAGTGTTTTTTTTACTGTACTTCCTGGAACGACACAACACAGGCAAGCCATGCAGAATTGTGACGCCATACAACGCTATCAGGAAGATGGTGAATGCCACGTACGTGCACGCCTGCGACAGTGGGGCGTGTAACACGGCGGAAGGGATGGGCATAGCATCCAGGACGGCAAAGATCGCCGACGCGACCATCGTCATCACCGGCCTGAACATGAGCGTGGAGAGGGAGAGCAACGACAGGGAGGATCTCCTGCTGCCGTGGAACCAGACCGGCTGGATCAATGCCGTCGCCGAGGCCTCTCCCACACCTATCGTCCTCGTGATCATGTCGGCCGGCGGCGTGGACGTCTCCTTTGCGCACAACAACACCAAGATCGGCGCCATTGTCTGGGCCGGGTACCCCGGCGAGGAAGGCGGCACGGCCATCGCCGATGTCCTCTTCGGAAAATACAATCCAGGTATGTATGTATGTTCATCAAATCTTGGAAATGCAGATCCCTTTTCACTGCATCCTCCGCGTCATGATGTTTCTCAAGCACTCCTTCGATTGGATCTCCACTCCACAAACAGGAGGACGGCTGCCGCTGACATGGTTCAAGAACGAGTACGTGAACCAGATCCCCATGACGTCCATGGCGCTGCGTCCCGACGCCGCGCGCGGCTACCCCGGCCGGACCTACAAGTTCTACGGCGGGCCGGCCATGCTCTACCCGTTCGGCCACGGCCTCAGCTACACCACCTTTACCTACGCGTCCGGCACCACCGGCGCCACGGTCACCATCCCGATCGCAGCCTGGGAGCACTGCAAGATGCTCACCTACAAGTCGGGTGCTGCGCCTTCGCCGTCGCCGGCCTGCCCAGCCCTCAACGTCGCTAGCCACAGGTGCAGCGAGGTGGTGAGCTTCAGCGTCACGGTGGCGAACACGGGCGGTGTCGGCGGCGACCACGTGGTGCCGGTGTACACCGCGCCGCCTCCCGAGGTGGGCGACGCGCCGCTGAAGCAGCTGGTGGCGTTCCGGAGGGTGTTCGTGCCCGCGGGCGCGGCCGTCGACGTGCCCTTCGCCCTCAACGTGTGCAAGGCGTTCGCGATCGTCGAGGAGACGGCGTACACCGTCGTGCCGTCGGGCGTCAGCACGGTCGTCGTCGGAGATGACGCGCTGGCGTTGTCGTTCGCTGTCACGATCAACCTGGCAGTGTAGACTACTACTCGTCTGCAGGACTAGGCGTTTATTGATTCTTTTTATTTACTGAAGATAATAACTTCATTTAAACCATTAAATGTAGCGAGCGAGAAAGTGGAAGCAAGTGTAATTACCTTACACAGTGCTATACAAAAGCAGAAGCAGATCGATCCGTGATTCATATCACTTCAACTCTTCAAGCAAAACGGGTGAAAAAAATTACTGTTTTACGGCAGCATGACATTGACAGTTTGATCTCCATCTTCAATACAATTCTAACACGGTACTGAATCAAAGGTATTAAGTTTGATCAGATTTATAGACAGTTAATCATAATGCTTTTTGTAATAAAGGTAGTCAAAATTTAATTAAATAATTCACTGACGCTGTCACATTCGACATTCGAGGGTGGTTAATTTGTCAGAATCCTATACAGTAAAGACATGTAGGTAGCCACGGATAGGCTGTCGATCATTATGACATGAACTTTACACCGCTTACACACGTGACATCGGTCAGGAATAATTTTGCCAGCCTCAAATGCTGCCAAAGGCGGTCCAATCTCAAAGCAGTACTATTCTCAACATATAGCAGACTTTTTTCGTCTATACCTTAATATATATATTTAAATAAAAAAATAATTAATTATATAGTTTAATTATAAATTATGAGATGAATCTTTTGAGCCTAGTTAAATCATGATTCTCTAAAAGTGTTACAAAGATCAAATACTAATTCCTAGCCCAATGCAATACTATCTCCGTTCCACGTAATAAAATTATCAGTTTCTCACATTTTGAGAGAGCAGACTGATTAACAATTAAAAAAATCGTGACTGTGCCTACACGTATTTCTTAAGAACGCAGCTGTCTATACCTATTTTAATAAGACTGTGTTTAGTTCAAAAAGATTCTCCAAAAATGTTACAGTAGCCATCAAATCGTTTTGACGATACCTAAAATATAGTCCAAAAAAACTAATTGCACAGTTGGTTGAAATCACTAATTTTGAGCCTAATTAATGAATTGCCAAATAAAACAAAAGTGCTACAGTAGCCAAATTCTCCAATTTCGCCAACTAAACACAGCCTAAAGTACAGATTTTGCTTTTATTTCTCATGTATACTTAGACCAAGACAAATAAATGACTGCATTTACAAACTCTATACTCTATTACCATGGTGCATCTATATATTCATACCTAGATTTAAGGGCCCCATAAGGTAATCCTAAAACCTAAGCTAGATTAGGGGTTTTATGGCTCAGCCAACACACTCATATTTTAGAAAAAATGCAGAAGAGTTTTATCCTCATAAAACTATCTCTACTCCCATAAAACTTTCATCATCTCTCTCTTAATCAATGCAGTGCCATGTCAGCGTATTTAACGCCCATGAAACTCTACGAAACTCCATTGAGATTGGCCTTAGCATTCTTTTTAGAACATTTTTGTTTAAGTCTGCTTTTTTCATATTGATGAAATAGTACAAAAAATCCTAGGTTTTTTGATGCCACAAAACTATATACATTAACATATGTTAGTGGCCAAAACTGTAAAGGCAAACTGTTCTCTTTGTCCCAAAAGAATATAACTCTTATTTTTTGATGGTTCGATCAATCTGCAAATAGTTTTATTATAAAATATATTCTAGTTTTAATCTAATGGTACTAACTATGCATCATCAATATTATTCTACTTATAAATATATATTTGATTAAATTTTAAAAAAATAGTTAACTTCTTAGAAAGTAAGATTTATATTTTTTTTAGACACAGGGAGTACATAGTAGAGGCGGTCTAGGGTTTGGCGAAAAGGTGATGATGCATTTGTCTATGGTAAGACTGTCTCTAACCGCCTAGGCATAACACTAACCAAACCCAAAATGTGTAGTTCACATGAAAAAAACACCCTCAACAGAGTAGGTAAACTGAGTGACCATTTTGCGTAGAAGGAGAGAGGGAGTACATAGTAGAGGCGGTCTAGGGTTTGGCGAAAAGGTGATGATGCATTTGTCTATGGTAAGACTGTCTCTAACCGCCTAGGCATAACACTAACCAAACCCAAAATGTGTAGTTCACATGAAAAAAACACCCTCAACAGAGTAGGTAAACTGAGTGACCATTTTGCGTAGAAGGAGAGAGGGAACATGTCGATGTTTGACCACCGATAGCCTGCCACAGGGGTACCCGGGGCAGTATGTTCGGGCTTCAGCGTATGCGGAACTCGACGGTGAACGCAAAAGACAGTCGATTTATCCTGGTTCGAACCTCGATCGCTGATCGAGTAATAGCCCTACGTCCAGTCGGCGTTAGCCCTTACGTTGGATTGATTGTTTGGAGTTGTGTTGTTACAGTCATAAAAGTCGTCCTCCTCTTTCCGTCTCTAGGAATCCTGCCCTCCTTTATATAGTCAGGAGGTCAGAATCCTAGTCGGTTTACAATGAGAATTCTTAGTAGGATTACAGAATAATACTACTACTAAGATTACATGGGAAGAATCCTAGTTAGACTAGATCTTCTCCCTTTCTCGCGAGGTATCCCGTGGGTCCCGCATCGACAAGCCCCCGAGCACTTCATGGTTGAGCTCTGGATGCCTCGTCTTGTTCCTTCAGGTCTTGCCGAGCAGGAACAAGCGTCGTCCGGGTGCTTTCTTGAGCGAAACCGTGTAGCGCTTCGTGAGATCTTCGCGTGATGTGTACCTTTTTGAAGAAAAAAGTACTCTCATTTGGGTGTAGCCCCCGAGCCTCTTGCTTTTTGGCACAAGGAGCTGGAGGGTCTTCTTTTGAAATCGCTCTGATTCTTTGTTGAAGGGTTCCTGAGCATATACCCGGGTTCTTTATCAAAAAGAGCTCGGATATATCTAGGTTCGGGTTCTTTTTGTCGTAAGGTCTTAAAGTGATCTGTCTTGAAGAAGTCTTCTTGGTGATGTACGCTTTTTCGGAGGAAAAAATGCACTCACTGAGTGTAGCCCCCGAGCCTCTTGCTATTTGGAACAAAAAGTTGGAGGGTCTTGAATCTTATGTTGTTTGAAAACTGCTGTCTTGAGGATGTCTTCTGAGTGATGTGCGCTTTTTTGAAGAAAAAGTGCACTCACTTAGTGTAGCCCCCGAGCCTCTTGCTATTTGGAACAAAGAGTTGGAGGGTCTTGACTATGAGTTATTCAAGTTACTAAGAACCTCTTCTGTCGCAGCCCCGTCTTGAATCTGAGTTATTCAAATGACTAAAAGCCTTTCCTATTGTAGCCCCCGAGCATATACCCGGGTTCTTTTATTCGAAAAGAACTCGGATACATAATCTTGGCATGTTTTCCAGTAGTCTGCTGTTGTCAGATGTAGTTGTAAAATGATGGTTGAGAGTAAATGCTGTTGATTCACGAGTTGTATAGTGTTGGTATATTATTTCGAATATGCTCGTTCTTGAGTACTGCTCCTTCACGCCTGAGTCTTCTTTCATTAAATTCTGTCTTTTCACTATGTCCTTTGTTAGGTTTCCTCTATTGATGCTCCCGGTCCATGTGCACCGCTTCTTTGGTCTATAAATACTCTCCTGGTGTGTTGTTTTGATTCATCGAGCATTTTGTTGCGTGGTTTGAAATCTCTGTAGCCATGAATATGATAGTTTGTGAAGTAGAGCAGCCCCCAGGCGTATTCTATAGTTCTTGTACATCTTGTCGTAGCTAGAGGAAGTCTTGTGATAGGAATTAGAGGTAGACTAATCCCACAACGGTATTGTACTTGGAAATACGTGGCGGTAGTTGGAGGAAGTCTTGTGATGTGGGATGCGTTCCTTCATCCAACAGTTCTTGGTTGATCTTCGTCGCCTATCTTGAGACTGTCCGGTGCAGATCAACACCATATCTGGTATCACATCAGACTTGGGTAGACAGATGCCTGCCGGCTTCCCCTGGTCTATGTTGTCCCGCCATGCTGCTGATTTCCACCTTGGATGCACTGCGTCCGTCCTTTGAAGAAAATAGTGTCGCCGAGTGTGGTTTGTTCTACTGAGTAGCAATTTGGAACATGTAGTCGTTCTAGAGCCTAGCTGTGTCCGGGTTCCTCTTTGCTACCTTGCTTGTCATAGTATCGAGTTCGTTGAGTCTTGTAAGATGTGTAATCTTCTATTTTTTGAAGCCATTTGTAATGGAAAGAATCTTGTCTTCTGAGTTATCATTCTTTTTTCTATTGAAGTCCTGGTTGTTTATGAGATTCCCGAGTTGTTTTTATATGAACCGGGTTCTTATGTTCCTTGTGAGGTAGCTCTTCGTTGCTTCATGGTTGATGAGTTCTTTCTGTAGCAATATGATAACTCCGCCGTGGTGCTGGATGTATAAGTCTGAAATCTGCCCATTGAATTGTACCGTTGTGTGGATTTGTGCCTTCCATCATTTTAGCTGTGTTAGTAAATGGACCGTTGCGTTCTCACATCGTGTTTTAACGAGCCCGATGGGCCATGTTTTACTACTGTAAAATCTATTTAAATGCCTTTCACCTTCTTCTTCTTTACTGCTCAGCTTTTGCCTTGAAACCCTAGTTTTCAGAAATCCACCACCGCCATTGTCGCCGTCATCTGAGCGCCGCCGTCTGAGCCTCATCTTTCCCTAGTGCCTTTTTGCTTCCGCTAGTACATGGGTTGGAAGAAAGCCGTGAGCAAGTCCCAGGTAGCCTTTGTGGACGAGGAGTCATCACTTTCCGTGATCGAGAACCAAGAGTTCATGGCCATGAGGGCTGCCTAGAAGGTTTGGCCAGCTCCGACTACAACTGAGGATCAGCTGCGCGAGCTCGTCAGTGATGGTCTGATCCAGAGCAAGGATATTGCTGATTGGAGAGCTCCAAGCGAGCACCGGGTCCCCGCTCTAGGTCCTGGTGAGATTATTCTTTTCGTCTCCTTTATTCGTGCCGGACTCTGCCTTCCGGCTTCTACTTTTCTTCACCATTTTCTCAGCTATTTTGGGATTAGCCTAAATCATCTTGCTCCCAATGCTGTCCTTCATCTTTCTGTCTTTGTTCATCTTTGTGAAA